AGGTGAGAGATTTAGAGATACAACCAGAAGTTGATGAAACTAGAAATGAAAGGAACAAAATTAGGGAGTGAAGGACTAATCAGAACAGAGAAAAGATTCAGAAAAATTCTCATCTAGAGAATAAATATGTATGACTGTAACAATGTAATTAACTTTGTAATTATGGCTCATTGAGTCAAAAAACTGATAAAAAGCCAGAGTGAGGGATGGGATTTGTAAGTAAAAGAAACCACAAAAAGAAAATGAGAGTGAACGGAATCCAGAGAGGAAAGGAGGGAGAAGATAAAAGGCTAGCCTATAAAAGAAGATAAGTTAGGACATAATTTATTTGCCAGAAAGGTTAGGAAATAAAAATCCAGCACTGAACTGTATCAGTTAAGATGTGGAGATACTTTGGGTACATGGCCATGGACAAAAAGTTAGTATGCAAATACCTTCCAGCTGCTTGGCCTAACAGTGTGAACGGGAAAACTTTATGTGCTGTTTAGTTTGAGGAATGGGACTGAGTGTTAAGCCTAAGGGTTGTTCATTCTGATAAGAAGTGAGGAGTGTTTATGAAGAAGTTGTGAGAAGCAAATACCACCTCCTGGGTGGTAATCATGTTCTAAGACTTGGACCCGGGTTGGTGGAGATAGGGCTCTACTTTAAATAGTGGAAGGTTTATAGTGTCTGAAGTACTGGGAAATCTCTCTGTCTAGGATAGTTTCTCAAAAGGTAGCCCAGAAATTAGGCTACGTTAATCAAACCACATTTAAAACAGCAGAGCTTGTTTGGTAAATTGCAAATCTCTTGGCTAATTCCAAATCTACCAAACCAGTCTAGGGCTCAGCAGACAGAGGGAGGTGATGCTTAAGTGATCCTTGTGTGCCTTGCAAACAGCTTTCTCTTTACTGAAGTCTAGATATTGTGAGAATAAGACATGATAACATGATTAGGCTCAAATTTACAATAACAAAATAAAAGAGTGAACAAGGCACTGGTTTAAATCAAGTGATTCTCTTTCTAAATGATGAAATAATAAGAATAAATTCACAATGAACTACATATAAATAACAAGTCATCAAGAAGTGTGTTGCTTTCCCTTCTAATTCTGCCTTTGAGAATTATTAGTTTTGTGATTTGAGGGGCATATTTTCCATGTCTGAACTGTAACTTAAAAGTCTTAGGAACTTGGTAACAATCCAAAATACAACCTTCCTTTTTCACTGCACTCCAGGGTAAATACGCACACACACAAACACAAATCCACACATACATATGTTGGTTCACAGGTTGTTCATCATTGATATTCCAAATTTTCCTCCATATAACTAAGAAAGTAACCTAAATTCAAGTAACATCCACACATCTAAATCATATTTGTAAAATTCAAAGTTGTGCGTATACTGTGATTTAACAGCGAAATCTTAGAAGGGGTCTAATCTTAACGGTATTCTGACCAGAAGTAAATGTTCAAATTGGATCAGGACTGTGTGAGGGAGGCATCCCCGTCTCCCTCCCAAGCCCTCTGACCTATCTGAAATACATTGCATTTTTATGTATTTTGATCCATAGATTCACAAAAAATTCATGATTCCAAAGGAATCAATCTCTGTATTCAGTCCTACAAAAGCTTGTTATAATTTTTTAAAATCTCATGCATATTAAATGTTATGTATAACACAATATACTGTCTAAATAAATAAATGCCTCTGTACCTATAACCCATCTAGTCCATCCTGTTCCTCCCTGATTAAGCCACACATATGTCCCCAGGAGTAAACCATTAATCTATACTTATACTAGTCCTTCATGGCGTGACCACATATATATGTATTTCTAAGCAATGTATTATTTAGTTTTACTGTTTTTATTCTCATTTTGTGCAAGTGGAATCCTTCTGAATATAGTCTTTGGAGACTTGCTTCTTTCACTCCGCATTATGTTTTGGAGATGCATCAGTGTTAATGTGTGTAACTGTGGTTCTTTATTTTCACTGCTGCAATGTTCCATGGTATGAACGCACAATGTGTTTATCCTTTTTCCTGCTGAGGGACATTTGGATTGTTTCCAGCATTTTGCTATTACAAACAGTGAAGCAATGAACTTACTTTTTTTT